TACATATTAGAATACATACAAGGAAATGTTACTCTATTTCCCGGAAAGATAACATACGAAATAAATAATGTATTTTTCTTTTTTTCTATTGAACTCTAATTATAATACTTTAATTTTCTTTTACAAAAGAAAAACCACGCTGTTTTAAGTGGTTTTGAGTTGGCAAAAAATGTTGTTTTATGATCTTTTAATAACAATAATTAACATAGCGTTTCGCTACGTGTTTTTTTGTAGCTAACTTCATTGTAAAGTATATTATCTGCAACCCTATGTCACTAGTCCCTTACAGTGATGGATACTTGTCAATCATTCTTATTTGTTATCAGTATTACTGTCAGGATTTAAATTGTTTCTGTTTAATTTTCCTCTAGTTTCTTATTGTTGTCAACTTTGTTCTTATTTGTAGCGTTTTGGTCAAATCAGGAAAAATCAACCGCGTGTTCTTTTTTCAATGCATTTTTTTTATTTTTTTCTATATATGTAGTATGATAGGGATGTAATGGCACCTTCAGCGTCTGCCTATTTACAGTTCAATAATAAACCTTTATGGTCATATTTCTAAGTCTCTATTAAATAAGCCTACTAGGTACTCAAACTTGTTATTTGTATCTTGCTATATTTAAAGTTATCTCAAAATAGATACATTCAAATACTACAAAACGACCCTATACTTTTAAATTTTGTATTATAATATATAAATATATACTCTGTTAAAAACTTCTTACCTCTAATGCTTTATTAAAACCTAAATGCTGCATGGTTAATTAAACGTAATCCGTTAATTAGCTGCGACTTTTAGTTATTGGAGCGTTTCAATAATTTTATAAAATAGTCACTAATCAATTTAATCTCATTAATTATTTATGTAATCAGAACCTTATAGACATTCTGTTTCCGATGTTAATTTGTCATTGACACAAATGACTGACATGATTTCCTTGTTGGCTTATAAGTCTTAGAGTCAGTTTTAATCAATTTATTTATAAAAGTAACCGTACAGGTGATCAAAATTCGCGAAGAAATATCTCAAATTTAACGAGAAGCGGTGCGCAAATACAGCATTGGGTCCAATAATATTATAAGTAAAAAGGTGTAGATATAGGTAACAAGCGCTCAGCAAGCGATCAAAATGTGGCTAACTAGCCACACTTTTTCATATTTGTCTCTTTCACTCGCGATTATTGAATCATGCCATCCCACTTTAACTTGTATCATACGCTTTATGCTTGTGTGCATTAATTAGTGTGCTGTTTTTGAAATTCGAATGTTGTTTATGGAACCTATCTATACCATTTTAAAATATCATTGGTTGGGTCTGTTAGTTAAAGAATGAATCGATTATCATCAAACCAATTGCTAACAGAATAGTCGGTTAGATTATGTTAGAACTACACCCTGCACAGATATAGATTTGCTGTCAGAAATAAACAGTTTGCAAAATTGTGCTGCAATATCATTATTAAATAGGCCCCTAATTAAATGCTTATTAAAGCAATACGGTAGTTTCCAACTAGTCAAATTCAATACTTTTATCCAAACGTCAAAAACGATACTTTTCTATGAAATTTGTATGAAAAACTGAGTTATGATGTTCTGCGTCATATAGCTTAATTATTTCTTAATAATTAGCTTAAAAAAATCTAAAACTTAGTGTATCGATCGATCGATGAATAAAAGTGTAGTTATTTTTCAATATTTTATTGTATTGAAACTTCGAATTAATTTATTTTTGACCTAGGAAACTTTTTGCCTGGACATATAGTGTACCTTTTTATAGAGGGGGTAAAAACATCAAATGGCTTATGTGGCCCAGGGTGAGGCGAGAGGTCATGTCAGGCTCTTACTGACTAAGACCCCTGTACCTTCTCCTGCTCTAGACCTAATTGAGCTTGCCCCTCAATCCCGTCTTTAATATACATAACTAACATTTGCATAGTTTACCTTGAGAGGCATTGAATACCTAATTTTGTGCCTGGCAGGGGTCAAGGAAAACGGAAACCAAACAAAAAGCATTTTAATGTAAAAAATTACAATCGTGCAATATATAGAGGGATACGAAAAACATACGAAACACCGAATAGTATAGTTTTATATGCAAATAAATCGTTCATGTTTATAAAACTTGTAGATTTTGCTATTTTTACCCCGGACATTCGTTCTTTTCGGGTCGTAGGTCATTCGGTAAATTTAATTTGATCGGTTTGTATAATTAGGAGTATTAGTAGATAGGTACCTAAGCATATATGTACATCTATTTTGGTACTGAGTATTTCTGTCTCTTTTACATCTCTCTCTCTTTCTCTCTCTCTCTCTCTCCTCTACGCCATTTGATATTACATCTAGACCAGCAACAACATTATTTACTACATAACTCAATAGTATTCTGTGCGGGAAAATAGCTTCAGACTCCTTGCGTGCCGGCTTGCTAGCCACTGAGCCAACTGTACATAATTATCGTACTACTCATCAAATCGCTTCTTCCTGAGTAGACTGAAAGGGTATGTCAGACTCTTAAAGACTACATTGGCTGGACAATTCCGCGATTGGTTCGCAAACTACAATAGTTCTTATAACCCTGTGTTTTGATTTCAAAGTCGCTTATAGAGGTAGGCCTTGGGGCTTTTGGAATTATCTCACGATATCAGCTCATAACAAAAATTCTTCACGCTTTTATCAAGTTCTCCGTAATTCCTCCACTTCATCTAAGACTAAGCAACGCGTACCAAACAAAAGACGCCACTCAACAACCACAAAAGGCATTTTAAATTAGTTTTTTGCACCATTAAACACCCACACGACAATCAACTCAATTACTTAGCATTTAAAGTGCATTCTTCAACTTCGACAAACACTGGAACGAAATATAGCGTTTAATTGTTACTAAAATGTAATTAAACACTAGTTTAATTGGATCTCTCTAGTTGATTAACTGTGCTAATTGTTTCTCGGAGATAACGAATCGCTGCCGCACTCTGCTTAGAAAAATATGCTGTAATTAATGAGATTACGGTAATTTCAAAGGCTTTTTTTTTCTTTAATAAACAGCGTTGTTGACATAGTCCGCTACAGTTCGTTGGTTACGTTGAAGAATGTCAATTTTATGTCAATGGAGGAAAACTTAACCTTTTTTTTGGTTGATTTTAACTCGCAAGTCCAGTTACTTGTGACGTCAAGAATTCTACCTCTTTAGTCTAATAGAGCTGAACGATATTCGTGTCATCATCAACCACATGAGGTGTTCTGCTAAACATTTGTGTAGACGATTTTTGGCTTATCTGGGATAAGTAGAATAAAGAGTATGTGCTCTATACGAAAACATAATTCTTGCGAAGAATGAGTTGACTCAATAAGCACGAAACATGAAATAAACTCTGATGTTATGTAGATCAGTAGATACCATTGTTCAGTTATTTACTATTCATATAACATTTTTCAATACAACCATATTTAGATATCTCTATCAAACTAAACAGAAAAACAATATTATCTACAAACCCCATAGTTTATTGCTATCAATAAAAATGTAAAGTCTAAATATTCTTAGATATAAACACTTTTTTTGTTTAGCTAAACGGTGATAATTTCTGTTACGGCCGGCAGTAAGTTTAGCGTGGTCTGTTAACCGTGACGGAAATAAAAACATTTTTTAATTTGCTGTGAGTAATAAATTCAAATGAAGATATGTATGTGTGGAGGCTAGACTCTAACTAGGCATTCTAGACTTTTATGAATATAAAACAATACAAAGATGGCGATCATAAGTTACTTTTTATGCGCCTTTCGACATTTTTGTTGTTAACGAAATTGAATGAGTAAACATGTAGACACGAGAGCCTAGTTCTAACGTTATCTTACCGAATCTGTTAGATTATTAATTAATAATTTACAAAAAATATTTATTTTTCTCAGTAAATGAAAGGAAATCGAAAAACACACTGTGATGATGAAAAATTTCTAGTTCAGGAACCCATTTCGACGTTCTTTTAATAAAGACAGTACAGATCGTCATTTCAAAAACCACATGACATTTTTGCTCGCCGTCGCCTCGATAATTCATAATTCCGATAATTGTAAACACAACTTTTAGACGTGTTACAAAACAGTTATCTCTACCGATAATTTACATTATATTCACAACAATGGCGAATGGAGAAAGCGGATGTTTGATATTGCAATTTAGATCAGCAATAATGATAGATGTTAAATTGCGCTTGAAGTTTGATCATAAGGGCTTGACTGACCGACACAGCCCGTTGCATCACACCACACAATATTATCTTTAATATAATTATATCTTTGTAATAATCTAAGTTAAATAAAAATTGTGAAAGTTTCCCATGATAGGCCTTGTTTGATTTTAGACAGGCTTGTAAAAGCTGTTGAGTCTAGTTCTAACTTTATCTAACCGAATCTGTGAGTAATTAAGATTCTAATCTAGAATATTTTTCATGTTATTGATTGATATAAATGTTTCCATTGGTAAATATACAGAAAAGACAGAAATTCAATTTTGGCGTGCACTCATTGGCGCCACTGTCGAGTACGGTCTTGTTAAACTCATTTTTCTGCCAAAAATGAAGCTAACATTGGTATTTATTTACTGTTTAGATAGGTACCAGGGTGCATTATTCACTTAGTTGATATTAGGCAAGGAACAATATTTTTGAGGGGGAAATGATCAAATTACTTCTCCCGCCCCAGATGGGGCGTCAGCGAGTTTTAGACTCTTTTTTGCTAAAAACCACCCTGTTCCTTGTCATTCTCTTGATCCACAACCTCAGCGGGCTTTATCCTGTGTGTGTGTAGGACTTGTTATTAATACTCGTAATTGTTCTCATCAAATCTTCTTTGTTAGTCGCCACAGCTAAAGTAGCCCAATAACCATGTTGATAGTACAATTCCACTATTAAAAGAGGCAGTACAAATCAATAAGCGCATCGCTCTTATAGACATTATAAGCAACATCAAGATTAAATTCAACACCATTTCTCTTGTTACAGAACTCAATTCCGACTACCTCATCATTTTCTACTTCCCTCACTTCATCATGGGTGTGTCTGAGCCTGGTTCCTCAACCACTCCTGACCTGCCTCCCATGGAACACGAGCGGCCAGGATCTGGCAGTGGCCTGGATGACGAGGACATTCCTCAGAGGAAACAAAGGAGATACAGAACCACGTTCACAAGTTATCAACTTGATGAACTGGAGAAGGCCTTTGGAAGGACCCATTATCCTGATGTTTTTACTAGGTAAGTTTGGAACACATGTTAAAAATATTATTTATTTATTTCACAATCATAGTATGAACTTGATTATATTTTTTTATACATACATACTTATGTTGTTGTTTAGTAAGTTTTGTGATTTCATCTATTACTGGTTTATCTTCAGCAAATTATGTTTTAACTTATTGTCTCTTCAGAATGAAATAGAAGGTTACAAAAAGGTTTTAATTTAAGTATGGTCTCTCTTTGTCTCTTAAATGTTAAATCGATGGTTACACTTTTTTAGGGGGTACGCAATGATATAGTACTTTACCATTGTTAACGTAGTGATAAAACTTTAAGCCATTCATTACTATTTTACATTTTTTAATACTGTTATTGTGTTATGAAAAGCTTTTAACAATTCAATAGAATTGTATCTAATTCAAAATAGTTCCTATACTATATTTTGCATTATCAAAATTTTATCGATTTAACACTACATGGTCTCCATTTCGCTATTCATTAAGTACCAGAAAAATTAATAAAATCAGTTTTAATGAAACATTCCTCTTGTTGCAGAGAAGAGCTCGCTTTGAAAATCGGCCTCACCGAAGCTAGAATTCAGGTAAGAACAATATCAATACAAATTACCCGCCTTTTTATAAACATCTTAATAATTTTGGTCTCAGACCTCCTTAAAGTGAATTTAGGAATCAAGGTTTATCCATTTATTCATTGGAGCAATATTATTAAGTCAATCAAAACATCGGTTAAGGTAAAAGTGATAAAATTAAAACAAAGACGCTAGCAGATCAACTTACACTATTCTGAATTTATTCTTTATTGGATTTTCAACTCTATAGCAGAACATACAAAATAGAAAATCAAATAAAGAAATTGGTTTCGAAGGTGTAAGTTGACTCGCTGGCCACTGTCCGTTTTCTTATTCTTAGCGGTGCGACAAAAAGTCGCACTTAGGCCCCCTATGGTCGCACGACAGGACATCGACTTCACAAGTCACGCTCAGCTGGACAGTTTACACATTCCAGACTCTATTATATAGCACATAAAATTTATTTGAGAATGCCGCCTTTAATATTTTTACACTAGTCAATTTACACAGTTGGATTCAATTATAATTATTAATATTTAATTTTACATTTATAAAATTGTTTCCGTAAGATTTGTTTTTATTGTAATTGATTAAATATCGAATATAGGTTGGCCATTACAAAAATTGTATGTAATTTATTATAAGAAATGCAATTGATTCGAGTAATAAAATATTAAGGGCTGAATTTTCAATGGTTAGATAAAAGTTACCTGGGGAATAATTATGATGCTGTCGCGTTAGAATGTTTGTATAAGACAGTGACAGCAACAATTTTATTTTATTCAGATAATATTTATCAGACTATTATAAAAATCAGCCCTAAGTATTTGGTTTGAATTATTTGGTTTTCGAAGTACCTATTTTTCTATTTATATGCCACTTTGAAATTGAACCCAACACATCGTAGTCATGAACCCCATATAACTAACGAGTGTGTTGTCGGCAGATAAAACAAAGTCATAATAATTATGAAACGATTTCATAAATAAGCCAGCTGTTTTCAACATACGCTCCACAATACAGACAAATAATCCCACGCGTATTGCAATCGTTTTTATCTGTAAATTAGATATTATCTAATATATCGTGTTAATTTTATAGCACAATTGTTTTATATAATCCAACATGAGAGATACCACTTCTGCCAGCGGCTTCGTCCGTATTACCCGGATGGAAAGTGGCCTAAAGACGCATTGTTGCAAACTATAATTAATCTATGATCTGTGCCAAATTTCGTCAAATTTTTTTCAGTAGTTTTTACGTTACAAACATCTAGTATAGCTGAAGATTGGACCGATCCTGAATTTCATTCCTGGTTTATAAAAAATGATCCTAAATGCAATATTAATAATAATTGAAATTGGTTTACACTCTCAATAAACTAAAAAGTATTCTGAAATTTATCGATTAAAATATACATATAAATAAAATAAATTAAGAAATAAATAAATTTTCTCACGTACCTTCATAAGTACTTACTTGTGCGTAAAAGTAAGCCAACACATTGACCACATTAACGTGAAATTAACAGGACAGTCCCATTAAAATACTGGCACAGTAATAAAGTTTGCTGCGTCGAGAGTTTTATTCGAGTAAAAAATATATTTATTATTCGAGACAGTAATTCAGGATAATAACATTATCATTACTTTTTAGTTGAATGGTTGTTAATGCAACAGCTAATTGCGAAGACTGGGTTTGATAGAATCTAAAAAAAGTCGTAGAGTACCTAATTCAATGTGTTTTATAGGTACTGATAAGCAATCGGTACTGCCCATGAACGCTCGCAACTCCTAAGTGGCCTTTTCGTAGTTAGGGATTTGTGTTAAAAAGGAATAACCTAAAATATAGATCGTGACGTCATGACTGTTAAAACCTAGGTGTATAAAAAAGACAGCGCGATATTCCTGCCCCGTTTCCGTTTCTTAATTGCAAAATCAAAGCAAAGGGCAAAAACTACTTAAAGAGACTTAACATAGAAACAATACTATAATTATAAAGGAATTTAATAAATATTGATTCAATGTTTTTTCTAAAGTTACTTATAAAGTTAATAATACTCATTGTGTGTTAATATTGCAATAAATATGATTTAGATTGTTACAATAACAACATTCTATGGTTCTTATATGGTTAGAAGTAATTCTAATTATCATCATTAGAACATTTGTTGAATACTTGAAAATTACTAGTATATTCAATTTTTAAATCATTTAAATGTACCGTTTATTTGTTACTGTTTTACTATTTGTAGTTTAGTCTATGGAAAAAAAACTTTTAAATTTGGATCAAATAAACTGCCTGATACTATCAAAACTCTTTTGGAAATTGAACCATTTATTCAGGCTATAAGTAATATATTTTTGGACTGGACTTTGGACATCACCACATCTACATAAAGTTAGGCATAAATGCAGCTTAGCAAGCGATTTTTTAACACATTCCGTGCCCTCGACGCGTATGTGCGTGCGAGGAAACGCACATACGCGTCGGGGGCACTGAATGTGTTAAGGGGGGGGGGGGGGGGGGGGATAATGAAATTACTTCTCCGGGAAGGAGAGGGAGTGTAAGACACTTACAGAATAAAAACCACCCTGTTCGTTTCCCTGCTTCTGGTCGAGTCCCATCTGTGATGGTCTATTGGCTCTTTGAGGCGCGGGATCTCAGTCAAATATAGACTGCTAGGTCAATTTCATGCCAGTTAAAAGAGTATGGAAAATCACTTAAAAAAATATCATTTTTCAAAAAGGTCGCGTGTTTAAAAAGTTAGTTTTTTGTCGTACTATCAAAGTGTACTATTAAAAGAGATTAAAACCGATTAATATCTGTCGTTACGACGTCAAAGTATGGTCACAATACGGCGACAAGCTTCCTTATAAGACATGTGGGGAAACGCGACTCCGCCCGTCCATACATCGGAGTAACGACACCTTAATGATCGCTTAATCACGACCAAGAAACTGTCCCGATGTTTTCATTAATGTCCAAGTCACTACGAAGTTGGAAATACGACTTTGTTGGAAATTGCCAATTACTTAGAAAATCCATTGATTTTTTTTTTTGTCAGTTTGCCTACTTGTAAAAGCTTTTTTTGTTATGACAACACTGTAAATGTGAACATGATATTCTGTTTGATGTACGATTAATTAATATGTATAGTATAGATAGAGCTTTTCTATTAAAACCTGAAGTCTATAAGGAGTTATGTGCATTTTTCAATGCAAATAAAACGCATTAATATTAAAATTTTTCAATTACTTACTCGTTGTTTAAGGAGAGGTATTTCTACCCATTATGTTTTTAGTAGTAAGTTAATTTTTCGATACCCATCAAAACATGTGTTTGGTACGCAAACAACATATTTGTACAATTTGAAAAACGAATAGAATTAAATTTAAATATATCGACTAGTCAAATAAAAAAAAAACACACGTTCTATATTAAAATTTATTCTGCCTAAATCACAGACAGAAGTTACGAAACACGCCCGATTACATTTACAATGTTTTTTTTAATTACCAAATTGATATAGTAATTAAAATAAAACAAAAATTTAAAACATTAATCATATTGAATGAAGTTAATCATGCTTATAAAAAAAAGTCTATTCGTTCGTCACGAAACAGAAAGCAGATCTTCAATAATTTCTTTGATAGATGCCATAAAAGTTGATTGTGGCGCCGAAATCATTAAAATATAAATAGTTTACACTAAAATAATTATCTATAGATTATTATTATAAATACTTACAATAAATGGATAAGTAGTATCCTGTTTTATTGATTTATATGAGCCGTCAAAGCAAATATTTTTTATGTATACTTACACCAAAAAGTATTGGTTTAATTTCACTTCGAATTTCAAATTTTGAAAAAGTTTTAAGCATAGTACTTAATTTTTTTTATTTTTTAATCTAAAAAGTTGAACTATACCAGCTTAACTTGACCTAAAAGTTGATGACGTCTCTGGCCTGTTTTTAAGTCGTGAGTAGAAAAATGTTATTAATGAATGCGAAATATTGTTGTTCGCAATTCCATGAAAGTTAAGGCAGAGTTATATCAATCAATGTTCTCAAAATAATATTCTTTTTTTCTTAAAAAAATGATTTTTAAGAAAAAAAAAATTTCAGATAAACAATATTTATGATTATGAACCCAGCATGTTATAAGGCTATTATAGTCAATACCAAATATTGACACCTCTAAAAAAATATTTCACTCCAACAATGTAACTAATAAATAACCTTTCATAATAGTAATAATAAGACCCTATATTTAATAATAATAATATAATTTAAAAGACTTGTGCACTAACATAACTAGTCAGGTATTAATTAAATTCTTTTTTGCTTCCAATAGTGGCTAGGCACGTAATGACTGGACGTTCCATTTAAGTCCAAATTAGGCCTTTGTAAGCAACACGCTTGGACTTTTAATTAACTTTGATTTATGTTGGATTTCTTACGTTTTTTTTTTCTTATAATAATATTATCAACTAATTTATAATAAAACTGTTTATGGGTTGTAAACTTTCTACTGATTAATAAATGAGGTTTTATTATTTTAGTTGTTTTTTTTTAAATAGGTTCTCTTTATATCTGCGAAGTTGTTTTATAGTTTATGGGGAATGGATTAGTATGTCTGTGAGCGGTTTGAGGGTTCCGATATCGGATTATAGATAATATAGATAAAGATAGCGTCGTGCCTGTTAAGGGTTACTGAAGTCTACTCATAGTCTTTACGTCGTCAGTTTCATTGTTACAGGTGACTTTCTAAATCATACACAAATCCATAGTATTTTTTAAAAAATGTTCAAGACTTTTTATAAATTACGAAACGCAGGTCCTCACACCAAGATTTTTGAATCACGGCCTATGAAAGTAATTTATTGTTCTTCAAGAAATTCAAAATTTTCTGAGGATTCCGGTATAACAATCATATACAGAAGTAGTTTGTGTTGTTTTATGATGTAGTAATAGTATTTGTAATATTTTGCTAATCTCAAAGAACGTATTGGCCTAAAAGTACAATAATTAGAAAGCTCAATAATATTCTAAGTGAATTGATTAGATACGCATAATGAGGTACCATCGCATAATACGTTGATAATTAAAAATTGAGGAACGTAATGTGTTACTAGTTGAATTTTATTAAGAGAAATAAGGTTCAATTTGCAATGGCAATAAATCAAATCGAAGTTTATTTTTCTTTCATTTTTAGTCAAGATTTTCTTTAATGTAAAATAATTCTTATGTCAATTGTGTAAAGTGCAAAAAGTAGCTAAAAGGAGACATTTACAAAGCGTTCTTTTAAAATTTTTAAAATAATTCCCCCGGCTATTGTTAATAAAATAATAAATTTAAAACGAGTCGTATAAAGTTCAATATTCATTGAACGCTTTTGTTACGAAAATTGGCTTCTAATTTTATGAACAGCAACGGAAAATGAACCTTATTGACTCCTTTTTTAAAAGTTCAACCGTAGCCTTAGCATAATTGTAATTACATTGAACAAAGTCGTCGGGAATTCATTAAGTGGTTAAGTGTGAAGCCATTTAATTAGTGTTGCTAGAAAGAAATTGATTATCAACTGCGTTTTTTACACTGGCAAGTTCTTTGTTACAGATGACTTATGTTTATTTTGACATGTGGTATATTTTAGCTGTTGTATTTTTTCGTTTAGGAATTATTAGTTTGGACCTGTTGGTATCATTATTTATGTTCTGTTAACTAGGCAGTAATTTAGTACAACCTGTGTCTGTAACTTTCTTTTTAATTGCATTATAATAATAAGTGTTTTAAAATTGTTATTGTTTACTGCTTAATACAATAATTATGAGGACTGTGAATCCAGAAATATCTCTTAGAGAAAAATTTTGGGTCTATTTTGAGGATTTGAAATCATAAACATAGTCTTAACCCACTGATTTCAGCCGGGGTTACAATTTTGTGTATATTATTAGTATAGACTATGGGGAGAAACGAGGTAGTTTAGTCAGTAAGATTCTGACCATCACCCTAAAACCCCCCCTAAAAACTACCTATTCTTCTAAGCTGTATTCACATTCTTATAATCTCCATTCTTTTGTCCATAGGTATGGTTCCAAAACCGTAGAGCGAAGTGGCGTAAACAAGAGAAAGTGGGGCCCCACGCTCACCCCTACAGCGGGTACCTGGGAGGGGCTCAGCCGTTACCTACATCAGCCTCATTACCGGGACCCCCTCATCCATTGTCACAACTCGGCTTTGGACTGAGAAAGCCCTTTGATGCTGCATTAGCCTCATTTAGGTAAGTTTTGAATGATAGCAAATTTGGTTTTAGTGTTTTTATGTAGCTGTTCTTTTAAAAGATCCATAAAATGATTACCAATTATCGTGAGATATATAGATCTACCTAAATTTATTGGCAATAACGACTTACTCACGTGACTTTATTGAGAAAGACTCGACTAGTTTCAAGCCACAACGGGGCTATTATTCATGAAGTGCGCGGTGACGCCGCGACTAAATTGTCATTTTCAATGAATGAAAGAATATCGTATACACGTTGTTCCTTGACTATTCAGTCCCTTTCTTTGGCAAAAATGTATAATGAGATGGTTTACTTCCTCTCTTCAGAATAATATGTTACCAGTCATCCTTTCCCTAATCAGCGATTCTGACCATAACACATAAAGATAATACTAATATCATAATTTCTTTCAACAGATACGCAAGCACACCACTATTCGGCGCCCAGTACTTACCACCACTATCGCGCCCCCCTCTCTTCGGAGCTCCATTGTACGCGACATCACCAGCACATTTCCATTCCATCTTCGCGAACCTAACCGTCCCCGAACCTCCCCGACTATCACCCGAACAGTCCCGACCAATTCCCGACTTATCACAAGCATCCCCCGATGTTTCCCGACCGTCGTCCGATCATTCCCGATTGTCACCCGAAGTTACCCGATCTCCAGCACCATCCATGTCTCCTCCAATATCGCCGGGAAGTGAAAGCTTGCCTATGCACCCAGTGATGGATGATGTGCGCACTTCTAGCATCGCTGCTTTAAGACTAGCGGCTCGAGAACATGAGCTTAGGTTAGAATTGTTAAGGCAACGAGCTGATCTCATGTGTTAATTGAGAAATATTTGTCTGTAGTTATAATTAAATACATTGTATTATATTATAAATATGTATTACTTAGTGAAGTTAAATTAAAACATTGTTTTGGTATCCAGACGTGTATAACCTTTATGTTGTAAATGTAAATAAGTTTTATTAAGGATTTTAATTTTTTTATATTCTATTTTCTTCTTATTAGGTTTAGTAGTTAAGTATTACTTAATGAATAAATAAATAAATACAGTTATTTTTGATTGAGTTGTTTTCTTTAAAGAAGTCACAAACCACCTAATAACACAAGAAAATATATCGATAACTTCCAAAGTTATTTCGCTTAACGCAAACTCAAGAAACTACTGTTTCGAATTGAACAATTATTTAGTGTTCCTTGGTCCCTTCCTTGAGGCCTTATAGCCTCTATAGGCTACAAAATATAACGCTACGTGAAACAGAGCGAATCATCAGGTGAATCCGCGCGAAATAAGCTGGAAATTCATATTTTAAAGGAAGGAAAGTGATAAAATATTTTGTGTATAATTTTCAAAACCAACAATGCAAGTATTACAAACTAGTACATACTGATCATCCTTATTCACAATCAATATTTTTATTACGAAACTGAGACTCATAATGTGAAATCAATCGAGTACCTACCCAAGCGAGTTAATTCTAGAAATTTCCTTATTCATTAGAAATCTATGAGTCAGGGGTCATTCTCGGCCGTGTCTATCCACGTATAACCATATTATAGTGTAAACCTAACCATGACAGACAGACATACTAATGCAATTAATATTAACGGTTTCATCTGCAAAATATGGTTACGTCCAATTTGTTCGACGGCGAATTATGTGAGGGTTCGATCACAGTGGTAGCGAGTAGCGATTTATAAGAAATGATATGTAGAAGATTAAAGAAACAAAATTATTTTTATTAGCGACGTTAGTTTGTGGTTTTAGACTCTTGCTGACTATAAACCACCCCATTCGATATACTGCGCCAGGTGTCCCCCCCGTTAGCTCGCCGCCCGACCAGAACCAGGCCCGAGCGTACGGCGCGTAGCGTTCCGCGCGCGCCTCAAACGGGGCCCTAAAGGGCTGATGTTCAGCCGGGGTTGTGGGGTAAGCGCAATGAGGTACCGCGACCTCGGCCCAGAGCAGGGGAAGGAACAGGGGGGTTTTTAGTCAGTAAGAGTCTGACACTCCCTCCCGCCCGGCCCTGGGCGGGAGAAGTCATTTGATGATTTTCCCCTCACAAAAAAAAGGTGTCCCCCCGCACATTCTTGCAGTTGCACCCGGAACCATAGCTTAATATTAGCCCTGTTGGCCCATCTGTGGTCCCATGACTCTCTGAGGTGCGCAGAAACCGACGGGCCATACGTTTGGGCGGTGTTGGTTAGGCTAACTTCTCGATCTCGCTTTCCGCAGACTCGAAGAAAATGTTTAACGTGCCTTGTAGGTATGCATCGTCAACAAGTTATGTCAACATCAAGCAAAAAATATATGGACATTTTTGACTCTTATTCCAAATGAAGTAAATTAAACATCTAAGTATATTCTTTAAGACAAGGCTACTCGATTGATATCACGACCTCTTAGTTAATTTGGGTAAAACAACGTTATAGTTCAGCGTATGACTGATAATTTCCGTAAGTAATCATCTTAGTCAGGACGAAATTTAGCCACTCATGCCTTTTTAACATTCTAACCGCTGCGATAATAGCGAGCCTATGGATGTTACGAAACTATATCCAGAATTTGCAACAACTCCCATTAAATTGACAAATTGTCAAACAACTTTTATAAATAACGTTTTGCTTCTTGGTAATTTCGATGTAGGTATAGAATTGTTCATCCATCAGATATACCTTTTTTTTACAAACAAACCAATTGTTTATAAAACATAAAATACAATATTATATCTTTTCACAAATATTTTCTGCTTTTGTAAATTTTTGAGCAGGGCAAAATGTTCTACGCCGTCTTCACAAATTATTTTCGCGTCAAATCGCTTGACGCTGTCACTGGCATCACCACCATCTCCACAATCCAACGTCGCAATGATTCATCGTCAATCACACACAATCATCACCAATTTGGCATTAGTCACCCAAGGCCGGGTGAAGGGACGTTACGTGCCTAATTATACCTGACCTCATGGCGCATAGGGACGATACTGCGGTTTGAGGTAAATCTTGAGTCTAGAATGTTAATATAGCCACAAATCTGTGTGTTTCGGTAAATAGTCTGGATTTAAATATTTTAAATTGTGATTATTTTGTTGATTGTACTGTGAGAATGACCTGCTTTGATTCCATGATGACAGCGGTACCAGTTGAATAGGGTAATCTTAATCGAAAGTATGTAATTGATTATTGTTGAGATATCAGACTAGTGTTGGATAAAATATTTCGAGTGTGTAAGGAATATTCGATTACACCAAGACATTCATGATGTTGCTTGAAAAAGCCTTAAGATGTTATTGTGAGCAAACTTTTGTCCACACTTACGCTAGCAAATGTTTGTTTTTATAATTTATGTTACCATAACTCAGGTCCTCAAGATACAGGCATAGCCTAGTTTGGGGACCACTAATATTAAAATAATGTACCGGCACTCATAGTTACAATAGTTTATAATGTAAGTTACTTCGATAAGGACCTAATGTACCTAATTGTAACAAGTGGACTAATAAATTTATTTCTTATTTCTTATTTCTTAAACTAAATTTACTGGAAATAACGACTAACTTACGTGAATTAACTGAAGCAAGCGCCGCTACAAGCGCAAGGCCGCCACAACACCAGAGGATTTAAAAGTGCGTTGCTGGCCTTTTGTGGATTAGGGTTTAGAAGATTTAGGGATTGGTCCGGTGAGGTTGTTTCACGCCAGTTTTCGACTCTTTTTTGCCGAAACACGGATATCCGACTCTTAGCATGGTTCTTCCATGCATACTACCTACGTAATATGTAGTTAGTTTCTTTAATGTTTTTTCAATTCGTCTTTTTAAAGACGTTATTCTATAGCTACAGAATTAATTAAATATTTTATGTTATATTGTAGACTTGATCCTAATTTTATAGTTGTTTCTTTAATAAAATATGGCCTTACATTTTCAGAATCGAATGCAAATAAATATGATCAAAGTCGCTTTAAGTCATTTCAATATAAATAAAATTAGTACCAGTTTTTAATTAACGAATAAGAATGAATGATTCGCTGACTAATCTTGTTATTATAATAATAAAATAGTGATAATGACTAATTGGAAATTAATCAAATAACTGTTTATAGAAATTAAACTAGTTTGACATTTACCCTGGCCATTATTTCCTTACACGTGTCGTTTGGATGACTGGAAGCGTGATGGTTTAAAAGGAGGTTTTACTTATTTTTATTTTATTTTAAAAAGGCGCTGTTTTGTCACTTTCTGGAGTATTTAATCTGCGCCGCTCATAGAATACCTGCTATACGAGATGAAGTGCAAGTGCCTTGCCGACTTTTTTGGTTAAAATACGAGGATTTTGGGATAAATGGGAGGTTTTTTTTTTTGTTTTTATGAGGTCATAGTATCTTTCAGGTTGATCCGGCTGGTTCAATTTGCAAGGCTTTCAGAAATCTTTTCCGTTTAGTCAATTATTGAACAAAGATTTCTCATTTACGAGGGCTATTGTCGTCGGACCATTTCGTGTCGAACATTTTAGTAACTGTGTACAGGAATTTAAAGGAATACGAACTTTGCACATATTATCTATACATTATATTACAAGGAGGGATGTGACAAAGCAGTCAAATCTCAGTTTAGGTATTTTTCAAAGTTTCTCTGTTTATCCTTAGTATTCTAACCAACTATCAGCCAAGAACTACCAACCAAAATTCCCATAACACGGCAACCACTATTCAAATTTTTAATCAATCCTTTACCAAAAAACCGAGTGGACATCTCATTATCTTTTCAACTAAACTTTTATTGCCATATTTAATATATATCATTTGAAACGTTTGTGAACTACGCAATCCCTAAGGACTATTTTCTTTACGACAATCAAGAACACATAAAAAAGGGGTCCTTTTCAAAATTATATTTAATAAACATCAAAATTTTATTAGTATTTATTTGACAAACAATTACACGCATCCTTTGTGATGATAATGGCGGTTATCATAAGATTTTATGAGCTCCGCCGGCCAGCGGCCGCGGGCAGTGATGTAGTCCGTTCAATTATCGACATCGATGTTTAATGAGGTGCCTCGTCACTGCCACTAACATTACAAATTCTTTATTTTCTTGGCTTTTCTTTCATAAACTTATTCTAGATTACACATGTCTTACGTCAAAACACAAAAACTAGCTCCACAAATTAAAATATCATTCGAAACAAACGAAAATTGATCTGAAGGTCACACATAGTTACACCAATTACCTAAATTAAATTTCAAACTCCTATTATTACCTATATTTGAGTTTTCTAATATCGATTGATTAAATAAGTGGCGTGTCAAATCGATTTCCTCGACCATTCGTGTATCCGAATGTTTATCGATACTATTATCGATAATACCGCGCCGTTGAGTTTGGTTTTTAGTGTTGGATCCTCGTCTGGTGCAAGAGAGCGCCTGCGCCTCGCTAACTTTTATTCACCGATCTTAGGTACCAGAGTTTATAGCTTGCCGTAAATTATGTGAAGGAATAAAGACGTTTTGTGAACGTGAAACGATACCAGGACGTTTCCATTTAAATTATTTTAAATACACTCACGGTTTAATACGACAGTATTTATAATAAGCTTTGTGTTGAATCAATTTTGCTTAAGCATTTCGCGTCGTTGTGTGCCTTTCTGAATTATGTATTTGTTTTCTTTCACTCTCGATATCTCGATATATTTTCATTTCATTGATTTACAACACTGGCTGCGTTCTTATTTTAAATATATTTTTATAAGGATTTTTTTTCCAAAGACTGATGTCTCGCGTCCAATCAAGAGAGATTATTTAAAATAAATTAATCAAACTTTTTTAATCATT